ATGAGTTTATCAGGAACTGTTGAAATGTGTTTTTTCCCTTCCAAAGTGTTAGATCTATGAGGAAGTAGACGTAAATATACTGCAGATCTGCTGAGAGTAAAACCGAAATCATTTTTTAAAGTTTCAGTTAATTCATCTAGAGTTTTGATACTTCTAATTACGTCAGTTTGTCGCCTTTCATGAGCTGCACTACCATGGATAGCAATGTTAATAATTGTCTTCAAAAGTTCTGGCTGATCATCTTCGATTGAAGGGCGTCCTACTTTGTCTCTGATACGAAGCTGCTTCTTTATTATTAAATTTTCATCCGCTATTTCTTGTAGTGCTCGTTTTCGATTTCCTCGGTACTTCGAAGCTCGATCCTGACTTCTCACTGTTGAAGATAACTTTTTTTCAGCCTCTATTAATTCCGATTTTTTCTTTCGTAATTTCGCATTTTCGTCCGAACTTAAAAGATTCACGTTATCTCTGACAGTGAGCGCTACAATTTCCGAATTTAATATTTGGATTTGATTTTTCAGTCGGTCTTGAGCAGGAGTTTCTCGTTTCTTTTCTTGATCTTTATTCTTATTTGGTGCTACTTCTTGAAGAATATTTTCATCATTATCCGATTGTTCATTATTGACCAAAGAAGGTGCAGCAGATGAAGACGTTGAAGAACAAGTCGTAGATGGCGAATTTGAAATTTTATTTTTTTCGATTTGATCTTTTTTTGCGTCGAAACTCTACATAAAAAAGAATACATTAATATCATTAAATAAAATAATTTATAAAATTGTTGCTAAATTATTAAATAAATAACTTGATAGATTTTATGAGTTAAATGAATTACTCAATAAAATTAATCTTATTTACATTTGCCCAAAACATGTCAAGTTTGGCTTTTCTTTTTCGTATTATGCCAACCAATTCCTGAAGCTTAGCATTCAATTTATTTTTAAAATCTTCACTGAATTTAATTGAATTCCAAAATGCAATACATTGTTTTTGTAATTCTCCCAAATTAGTGTTTGGAAATGCTTCTTTATATTTTGAAAATAAATTTTGAAAATCGTTTTTTTTCTCCATAATACCTAAAAAATTAATTATAATATTACTTAATATATATATACTCATTAATTGCTAAAATATTTCCATTAAATTATATCCGTTTTTGAGAATTGAATATATAACAGTAATAAAGAATTGAAAAAAACTATACAAATTGAAATGTAGATTGATTAATTGAAAAAATTACTTTTAGGTTAGCTTTTTATATATCGCATATAACTTAGAAATTTAAATGAATTACATAATTAATTGTTGGTTTCATAATACTTATTCAACTTTAAAAAATACTAATTTTTGCTCAATATACTGCTAAAAAAGAAAAAAGTGAAGACGTTTCTTTTTAAGGATTCGTTTTGCACTTAAGCTCTCGACCGATTCAGGAAAATAGAAGAGGACTTTATTTTCTAAATAGAAAGTAATATTGAACGCTAATATTGTTCCTACATGAAAAAAGTTCTAAATATGAAATAGAACGTCGTAGCAATAAATATATTTACATTTTATACATTTTACAATACGAACTTCATCATATACAAAAACATTGCAACCTAACCTATAAAATAAGAATTTCTTCAACTTTATTATTAATATTTTAATTTAATTCACAATACAATACCTTTCTTTTTACGAACACATAATAAGAGTAATAATAATTAAGAAAAAATGCTGTAGATTAATTCCTTTAACTCAAGTATCTGTCAAAATAATTCTTATATGCGGCAATTTGCAATTTGTTTAGGTTGTTATTCAAAGAATAAAGGCGAGCATGTAACTGACTGCCAACAGATAAGTATATTTACGTTGTCGGTAAAATAGGATTACACATATTAAGGGTTCGCACACAATTGTGTATGCTGTACTTTGCAGAAGTTGATTGGTTCAAATATATTATGTTTTTGATTAGATTATTTTTGTACTGTTAATAGAACTGACAAAAATTTTTTTATTCTTCTTTCAAGCGTAACGTCACATTTTCTTTACACCCCTCCCCCCTAACGTCACAAATCATCACACATTAGTAATTCCACCCCCCCCCCTCGGCGGCGTGACGTAATTTATGGACGGCCCCTTATATTGGATTTGCCATTTTGAATTTTGAAAAACTGACTTCAGATTCGTAATCAGCGACCTCGAAAACATTAAAATATGTGGTGACCTAAAATTTTTGCATAATTTTCTAAAAGAAATTAATAAATATATTTACTTATTTCTGAAGTTAGCCGCTTCCACTTGACATAGTAAGGACGTTATTTTGAATTTTCAATTCTGCAACTTTGCAATTGAAAGGGGATGAGTTTACGAGTATTTTCATGTATTACATGTTTATTTTTATTGCATAAAATTTTGGACATAGCTTTGGGCCGGTTGATGTGAAACGTCCCATATATATATATATATATATATATATTCCAATTACACATTTTCAAAAGAAACAGGCAAACTATATAATATCATTATGGAAAGAAGATCCCCATTCACCTGGACAGACATATCCTCGAGTTTATCAACTTGTTTGAACTCGGAAGGTTGTATCGATAGAAACCTGCTGTAGTTGAAGATATCAGCTAAATTTTTTTCAGTGTAGAAATTAAGCTAATTTTTTCCTTCCATTAAGAAAAAATAATTATAATTTCGTTTAAAAATTATAATTTAGAAATAAAAATTAAACAAATTCTCTTTTTTGACTTATAAAAAAACTAGAATTTTTTTCAAAAACTGTGATTGAGAAAAAGAAATTATTCAAAATTCAAAAAATTTACAGCCCTGCAAATGTATTATTATTTGAGGCATTCTCTAAAAAAAGCCACTTAAAAATTTTTTTTTTGAAAATATATATGTTTCAGTATATGTAAAAACTAAAATAAAAAACATGATTTCAGTTCCGTGTAATACGGGGTTGCCATACTGGCAGGGGTCACACGTTTTTGAAAAATAATTTTCAAACCGCTATAACTTTAAAATGAATGAATACACACATAGTTAATAATAATTAATAATTAATAATTTTCAAACCGCTATAACTTTAAAATGAATGAACACCCACATAGTTTTTTCTGCAGAATTTTCTAAACTTTTAAACTATGTACCGCAAAAATTAAAAAAAATATTTCATAGAAAAAATTGAATTTTTTTTTAACCCCTTATGCCCCCTTCGATTTTTTTCAAAACTACCTTAAAATGTTCCTTATTTCATCAGCTTTTTATTCCCCAAATAGAATTTTGGGACAGCAATATTTGTATGACTTATAAATTAAAGAGCAGCTCAGCGGAACGCTCTCAATCTGAGCAAATGCTGTCGTGTATAGAATTTGAGCACCAAAAAATACCACTAGGTATCTGGATTTTAATTTATGACTCATACAAATATTGCTGTCCTAAAATTCCCTGTGGAGGATAAAAAGGTGATGAAATAAGAAACATTTCTATGAAATATTTTTTTTAATTTTTGCGGTACATAGTTTAAAAGTTTAGGAAGTTCTGCAGAAAAAACTCTGGGTATTTTAAAATTCATTCATTACACTGAGAAAACTGGAGGTGTGAATGGTGTATTTCATTATTGAGATTATTTTCCAATAGTCTCTCAAATATAAACTCTTTATCCCTTTAAATGTTCACTTCAAACCTCCAGCCCACATAGCACCTTTATTTCCAGGAAGTTTCCAGGAAAATATTCAAGGTAACTTCGGAAGTTTCCACTGGTAACTTTGTGGAAACTTCCTGTTTATTTCCCTGAATCTGAAAATGTCTTAGGTCCGGTAGTTTCCCTTATTAACTTCCTGTTAACTTCCTTGGTTAAGTTCCAAAAAATTATCTTAGTAAATTTTCAGGAATATTGCATAGGAAAATTCATAGATTTTTAAATTGTTATTTTCCAAGAATTTACTATAAAATTTTCTGCAGTATTTGCAATATATATCGAAAATTGAAGAAAACAATTTTTCTTTCCAAAAAAAATTATCAAAAATGGCTAAAATAGACATTTTTTGACCCTTTATGCTTCATTTACCAAAAATCCCGACGTGTTGGTGCATTTTGAAGGTCAGATTCGTTTTCAAGACAAAAAATGTTAGAAAAATCACCTATAACTATTTTAGATACGTACCCTCGCAGGACTGTGTTTTTTGTCAACCTCAAAAATCCGTAGCATGGTATTTCATATAATTATACCTATTCTCAATTTTGCTCATGTGTTAAAGAATTAATATTAAGAGCTTAATTATTCCATAATATTGTTCGAATCAACTTAAAAATCATTAATTTACAGTTTCCAATAGAAATTTTTACTATAACCCACATAGCATAACTGTTTGCAGCAAGTTTATAATGCCAGGTTGCAAGTTACACGATAAATTTGCTGCAAAATTATGGTAAATAGCGAATTATAGCAAACTTGAAGAAATCTTGCAGCAAATTAATTTACAAATTAAATTAATTAAATTAATTTACAAATTGAATTAATTAAATTAATTTACAAATTGAATTATTTAAATTAATTTACAAATTAAATTAATCAAATTAATAAATTTTCCTATTGCACTTTGAGCTGCGCAATAGATTTGAGTCTCCTATCTTCCAAGTAGGAAATAAAGTAGCAAAATATTAACATAATTAAATTTTTTTTTAATTTTTCTGTAAAATTTGTTATAAAAATTTGCTGCAAACTTGCAATGCAAAGTTTAAAAACTATTTGCCATAATTTTGCAAAAAATTTACCGTGCCAACTTGTAACTTGTCATTGTCAACTTGCTGCAAACAGTTATGCTATCTGGGAATTTGATTATTTTGTAATATATTTCCTTAAATCAAATCAAACCGAATCTTGATCGAGTTCGATTAGATCTCGGTTTTCTCAATCTATCATGGCATCTATGATGAAGCAAAAAGAAATACTAAAAACCTTTAGTACTATATTTTGGCAACGGTTTTTTAGAATATTTTTTTCTTTTCAGGTATACAATGACATGATGCATCTACCTTGAGGATAAATTTGCAGTATCAAAATAAGTAAGGAGTATCAAGTTAAATATGCCACATCATTTTGGTTTACCAACTATGGCACACGGCATACAGTCTCCGCCTTCACCAACAGCCGTAATGTCTATATATCCTCGCTACAGGGCTGGCGTCTACAGTCCAGAACATCAAGATCAAAGGTTAACACGCGAAGCTATGGAACGTTACTTGCGCGACAGGAGTGATATGGTTATTGTAATTTTACATGCTAAAGTTGCTCAAAAATCGTATGGTAATGAAAAACGCTTCTTCTGTCCCCCGCCTTGTATTTATTTATTTGGCGAAGGTTGGCGAATGAGACAAGAACAAATGCTCAGAGATGGTGAATCCGAACAATCTTCGCAATTGTGCGCTTTCATAGGAATTGGAAATTCCGATCAGGATATGCAACAGCTCGATCTCAATAATGGTAAACAATACTGCGCCGCTAAAACATTGTATATATCCGATTCAGATAAGAGAAAACATTTCATGCTTTCTGTTAAAATGTTTTACGGTAGTGGACATGATATTGGAGTTTTTCATAGTAAGCGAATAAAGGTTATATCGAAACCTTCAAAAAAGAAACAGTCTTTAAAAAATGCTGATCTTTGTATTGCCAGTGGGACTAAAGTGGCTCTTTTTAATCGTTTACGTTCACAGACGGTTAGTACAAGATATTTACATGTTGAAAATGGAAATTTTCATGCTAGTTCAACGCAATGGGGTGCGTTTACAATTCATCTTTTAGACGACAATGAAAGTGAATCAGAAGAATTTCAAGTTCGTGACGGTTACGTTCACTATGGTAGTACGGTAAAATTGGTTTGTTCCGTAACTGGAATGGCACTACCTCGATTAGTTATTCGTAAAGTTGATAAGCAAATGGCAAGTTTAGAAGCCGATGATCCTGTCTCGCAATTACATAAATGTGCATTCTACATGAAGGACACGGATCATATGTATTTGTGTCTTTCTCAGGAGAGGATAATTCAGTTTCAAGCAACTCCCTGTCCAAAAGATGCGAGCAAAGAGATGATAAATGATGGTGCATGCTGGACAATAATTAGTACTGATAAAGCTGAATATCAATTTTTTGAAGGAATGGGCCCAGTGCGTTCGCCAGTAACTCCAGTCCCACTTGTTCACAGTTTGCATCTAAACGGTGGTGGTGATGTTGCAATGCTTGAATTAACTGGTGATAATTTTACACCAAATCTTCGCGTTTGGTTCGGTGATGTTGAAGCTGAAACTATGTATAGATGTCAAGAGAGTATGTTGTGTGTCGTTCCGGATATATCGCTGTTTAGAGGTGAGTGGCTGTGGGTTCGTCAACCAACTCAAGTTCCTGTTTCTCTAGTGCGTAACGATGGTATTATTTATGCCACTGGATTAACATTCACCTATACTCCAGAACCGGGACCACGTCCTCATTGTCCACCTGCAGATGAAGTGATGAGAGCACCTCGTTCTGCACAAAATCAAGCTAGTATGCTAACTATAGCTAGTATAGTGTCAGCTATAGCTGATGTTCCATGGAGCACACATCAACCAACGCAAGGAGGTCTCTGATACTTTCTTTCAATTTGCAAACAGAATCAAAGCAGTTATAGTGCAAATTCCCTGTCTTTTATGTTCGACAATAGACTCATTTCTCTGAACATTTATGAAAGGAAAACGAACAAAACAGTTTAACAGAACTTTGTTTGTATTTTAATAATTAACGTTTCACAAATTGTTGAAACTATGTGTAAAATATTATACAAAAAATCTAAAGAGATGGAAAAATGAATAAACTTATTTTTAATAAATGCGATAATTCTAATTCTTCACGGAGAGAAATAGATGGTACGGGGTACTATCTAAATAGTACCAGGTACCATATTTGATCTTACATATACGGACAGCAATCTAGATTCTATCAGTAACAATCCAGATTGTACGGAGTAACGTCTTGATTGTAGTGGGTAACATAACCATACTTTTTGTAACATCTTTGATAGTACCGAGTAGCATAATGATAGTACCGGATAACATCTACTTTTTACCATCTTAAGATCATAAATTCTTACCATCTATTTCTCTCCGTGTTGAGACATTTTTTTTAATAAAGAGTAGATTTTATATAAATTTAATAACATTAATTAAAATACTGTAGTTATTTGAATTTCTTATAATATTGCTATCAATATTCATGAAATACATGGTCGATTTTTAATAAACTGTTATTTTTGTGTCATTTATCAGCTTTGTAAACATATGTTACGTTCGACAACGCAACATTAATAGTTAATTTTAATTAAATTTTCGAGTCTAGACTCTTTTGTCCACAAATGTTTGAATTTAAAAGAACTGAAAATATCATAATACACTAAAATCTCTTTGGAAGGTGAAAAAAAATAATAAGCAATTTTTAGGGAGTGAAAGGACTGGAATGCGCAATAATTCGCATTACGTCTTTCGGAATTAGTAGTATGACAAGTAAAAAATAAAAAGGAAAATTAAACAATAAAATTACTTATTTTTACAATTGATTTATAATTGATGATTCATGGAAAAATCGTTTAACTAGGAACCTTGATAAATTTGAACTGGAACTTCAATATACATTCAATAAACACTTGCAAATAAAATTTAGAATGACCGAGAGAATCTTAAAATAAATAAGAAAACTTGAATTTTGAAAGCAATTCAGAGAACTGAAAGTACTTGAATTTTTAAAATAGTTGAGAGAACTGAGAGAACTTGAATACTTAAAATCTACTGATTTTTAAATAAAAGTCTTTAGTTTTTATATTGCTATCCCTTCTTAAATTTTTAAGACCATATATCATAGAACTGTTACAAACTTTTGAGAACATGTTTTGTAACTGGTTAAGAATCTGTGAGTCACTGGTTACGCAAAATGTCATACTCAGCTGATATGTAAGATTCTGTAACAGAACTAGAACATGGTTACAAATGTTTTTGTAACAGTTCTAGAACTGTTTTGTAACAACTATAAAATGGGTTATAACCATTATTGCAAGATTATTACCTAAAAATACATGCAAAATATTTTTTATTCTTAATAAAAATATTAAAACTTGATGTAATAGAAAAAGGAAACTGTAAAATAAACAGTGTCAAATTTCAACTGTTCTATAAAAAGTTCGCTCCACAGGCTGATACTCTAACCATTCCGCTACCCTAACATGGGAATATAAATAAAAAATTGATTTGATAACTTGCGACTGAGGAGGATTTAAAAACTGTATTGCTTATATAAAGAAAAAACAATATAACTATGTGATATATAAAAATTTTAGATTTTTTTAAATTTAACTACATATTTAAGTAAAATAAACTATTTATTTATTAATTTCATAGAAAATAGTTAAGGTACTAATGAACACTTCAAAATTTTTAATCTCAGGTACAAATATATTCCAAATATATTGTATATTTTTTTTCATCAAAATTTTAGAACAGTTACATATCATTGTTTCGATATGTTTCTAGATATGCGATGAAACATTAGTTACAGAAAATTTGTGGCTGTAGTGTTATAGAAATATTATGTAACACTGTTGCAGAATTGTTCCGATTTGTAGGTACAAATGTCATCCAGAACTAATCTGCAACAAAATTTTAGAACAGCTACATAACATTTTTCAGACACAGTTCTAGAACTACGTTGGAACGTCAGTTACAGATCATTTGTGATGATTGTGTTACAGAAATGTTACATTACATTGTTACAGAACTGTGAAGTTAGCATAATATAGAACAGATCGGTAACTCCCTTGTAACAATTTTCTAGAATTATGTTACAATGAGGTTATATAACATTTATAGATTTTGAACACTTGAGGTTCTCAGAGTATTTTTAAACAAAAAAGAAAATAATCGACGGAGTCCTTTTCGAGAAAAAAATTTTTAAATATTTTTTTATTAGTAACACAGCCTCACAAGAATAAAGGTATATGCGTATGACCCTAGTACCCTACCCTCATATATTTTGGTGCACTGTACACGAATCTGAGGTCATATGTGACGCTCCGCGACAAAAGGGACCTTAGCTCTCGAGCGTGTATTTTACAGGAGGCGCGTTTAAAGCGAAGACAGAATGTAAAAACTCGAGGCAGTGGGGAGACATGCCCGTCTTTAAACCATTATACTGTCAAAAGCATTTGACATCTACTATTTCTGTTTTTTGCAAATGACAGAGCAACTCAAAATCTATCGATTGGCATCGAAAACTCGAAATCGATTTTTTTGAGCTAAGGTCCCTTTTGTTGTGGAGCGTCACATATTTGCTTCATCATTTCAGGATTTTATTCTAACCTCAAAAAATAGGGGTGGTAACGATTCTACGCAATTAAACTCTACACAAATGAATTCTACAAAGTAAACTCTACACAGGAAAACTTTATAATACATTTAGGCAAGTGCTATTAATTCTACATAAATAAACTCAACACTTTATAATTAGATAAATTTAATTTAATATCATTTATTTAATTCATTGCAGTTAAATCCTACGCCGTTAAATTCTACACAAATTAATTCTACGCATTAGAAACTATAATTATTTCTGTTTTAATTAAATTTTAACTCTACGCCGATAAATTGAACACCAGAAAACTACGCAAATAAACACATTTTGTTACAATAAATTTTTTAAAATTCTACGGAATTAAATTGTACACAATTGAATTCTTCACATTTGAATTTATTTTAATATTAATTTTTAGAACCCGATTAAACTCAACACAAAAAACCTTCATTTATAATTCTACACGAAAATATTCCTATTTTTTAATTAAATTATTAGTTTTACGCCATTAAATTGAACTCCAGATAATTCTACACAAATATATACGATGAATTCAAATTAATTTTTTTAAATAAAAAAAAAATAAATTCTACACAGTGAAACTCAACGCACTTCTAGTCAAAAGTTTTGACTATCGCAACATTCGCAACTAACTGCGTTGAGTTTTACCGTGTAGAAATTTTTTTTATTTAAAAAAATTAATTCGAATTCATCGTATATATTTGTGTAGAATTATCTGGAGTTCAATTTAACGGCGTAGAATTAATAATTTAATTAAAAAATAAGAATAATATATTATTATTCTTTTCGTGTAGAATTATAAATGAAGATTTTTTGTGTAGAGTTTAATCTTCCAAAAATTAATATTAAAATAAATTCAAATGTTAAAAATTTAATTGCGTCGAATTTTAAAAAAATTTATTGAAACAAAATGTGTTTATTTGCGTAAAATTTTCTGGTGTTTAATTTAACGGCGTAGAGTTAAAATTTAATTAAAACATAAATAATAACATTTTCTAATTAATTTGTGTAGAATTTAACGGTATAGGATTGAACTGCGATGAATTAAAATTAAATAAATAACTTAAAACTCGTTTCTCAGAAGTTTTTAGGGTTGCTGGTTTTGAATATGAAGTCAAAATTTAAAAAATCGTCAGCCATATTGGATCCACAATTTCGAATTTTTAAAATTTGTCTTTATATTCGAAATCAGACACCCCAAAAACCCCTGAGAAACGAATTTTAAGTAAATCCAACCAATTTTTAAAAAATTTGTATGTTACATGAAATTTGACATATTTTGTGAGGTTAGAAAAAAATCTTGATATGATGGAGCAAATATGACCTCAGATTCGTGTTCAGTGCACCAAAATACATGGGGGTAGGGTACTCGGGTCATACGCATATGATAATTTTATTTTTGTGGGTCTGTGTTATCAATGAAAAAATAAAATTTATTTTTCTCGAAAAGGGCTCTGTCTATTATTTTCTTTTTTGTTTAAAAATAATCTGGGAACCTCAAATATTCAAAATCCATAAGAAATTTTAAAGTACAAGCAATTTTCATTTAAATCCATTTCAGGCACACCGTGCAAATCAATGATTGGATTTTACTGTATGACAAAATGGGAAAACTTATCTAGAGAAAGATGTCATTGGGTCCTTCAGGCCAAGCACTTCTTTGCATGGGCGTATCTAAAGATAAGAGTGTCTTGAAAAAGTGGGGAGTCTGAATTTCAAGCTATTTCTAAAAGATGGATCCAAGATTCACTTTCTTCAGTGAATCTCGCTTAGCGACAAATTCGAATTGGAGCTATGTTTCCATTTTTCTGAATTCGACAAAGCTGTATTCAACTTTCAAACTCTACATTTGTACTAATTCAGTGAACAAACTTTTGAGCTTTAATTGTTTTCAATTCGCCAGGACAAATTCAATAGAAGAGCTGGTCATTTTGTTTTAATTCTCAACCGATGAGAACTCATTGGTACGAATTGAATTGAATATACAAAGAGCTTCATTGAATCTTGCTTAGCGACAAATACGTATAGGACCTTGCCAAAAAAGTTAATTTATTTCAATTCATCTGAATTAGGTTTCTTTACTGGGTACAAATAAAAGAGAAATAGTCAAAATTATTTGAACACAATTCAGTAATAATTATTAAAAACTTTATATGTATAAAACATTAATAATTACAATTTATTATTTCATTGTGTGATATTATATTTAAAGAAAAAAAATAAAACAGTTAGTAATTTGATATTTTCCTTTTATGAAACTAAACAATTTTATTACTAAGAGAAGGAAATCCGGGTGACAGGGACTCTTGGACCTGTCGTGAGAAAAAGAAAAGAGATTAAAGAACCCCACCTGTCAACATCTGGAGGATGCACTCATAGACTTTTGTGTCGATTTTATGGTTATATTTTTTACATTTTATTGCTTACAAATGTTTTCCGGTTCTATGAATTTTGTAAATTTCAAAGTGCAAC